AAACGGGAACTCCATTATAAACCCTTGCAGAAATCAAAAGGTTCTTAAATTTAGCGTCGATGGGCTGCTTACTAATGATTAATTTCGTACATTATCTTTGGAGCTCGTCTTTACATGTTCAAGTCTCATGTTACATAAAGAAGGTAACGACATCACGCATATTATAAGGTTTGCAGATTGGATATTACTTTGAAAGATTTCAGGGTTTACAAGCAAGTTTTGAAGAAAATGCAAGTGATTTTTATTTTTTAACATAACTTAATAATGGAGAATGAATGATATTTAGGATCACTAATGAACAGAGACGCATTTCCTGTACTGGCAACTCTAAATTACCCTTATTCAAGCTAAGCATGAATAAGACAAATAAGAAACTAACCAGTTTCGTCATGATCTCGAAACAAGTGGGCAGATAGCAGATTGTTTTTATAAAACAATCAAGAAAAAAAACTATTAGCTACTATCTCTTTAAGAGTATACAGTAACCTCACCGAATCACTTCAATGTTCATCATCCCTATTCAAAGACTTGAAATATTTCATCATGAAATTCAAATTTTCAGCCAAGAGGAAAATCAATTTCAACAGATGCGAAAGCTTCAGACCGTACAAAGAACGTACCTTAGCGATATCCGGAAGAGCACTCGTTAAATTTGCATAGTTCTATTCCCCTATATTTGACTTTCTCATTTAATGTTACTATTCAAAACAAATGAGGTGATGGGCAACTTAACGTTCATGTTTCAAAACTCTTTCCCTTTAACAGATATTGGCTAACAACAAGGTCCTCCGTGATAGGGGGCACATCGTGATGACGTCATATGACGCCCTTAGTACTGCCTTTTCCTCGATAAAAATCCGCCGCTGAGATCTAAATATACTGTATAACTGTTCTTATTATTAGTGTGAAGCTTTCCATTTCTTTCTTACTTTCTGAAGTTTTTTGGGGGATGTGTACATCAATACTTTTGTAAAGATCCGGGTGACGTTGTAAGCTATAAAGTTGTTCCAACACGTTTCAAAGTCCCTCCACGCTGTGTGGCAGTCACGTGTAGAGAGAACTGCTACTGTACCTGAAAACGATGAAGAGACCGAATATCCTCCTGACAGGTGAGTCTGGGGGCATTTCTATACCACAACATCCATATGTCTTTTCTATGTGTTCTTTTTCGACTTTTTTTAGTAAGCAAACGAGGGAAATGTTCCGCTGTTGACGTAAGCTTAAGTTAATCAAACAGATCCCTTACATCATAGTGATCAGCTCCTTTTTAATAACAAAATAAGAATCAAGGCAGATCTTAGGTTAACACTTCGCACGTCGAAGTGCTAGTAAAGGGTTATATTTGAAAGAAACTGGACACATTTTGCCATTTTATATTAGAAAGTGTTCTTACAAATGTCGTGCAAGTCGCCTATATCACCTGAATGGGGTTGTTCGTATTTGTTTCTAATCATCTAATACCGTATTGAATTGGATGTTGTACCACACTCTAATTTTTTGTTTGTGTTTACTAGATATTCTAACAGAAAAGGAAAAAAATACGGTGGAAACGTATTTTTTCAAAAGTTTTGAATGCTGTGATACATCAAATTGCGTTTTATACATTTTAATTTGTAAAGTATATTCCGAATATAGACATTCAACACCTGAAGAACGCTTTAGCCGAAACGTTGTGTCTCTTTTCTCTTCCTTTCAGCACGGAATAAACCTTTACCTGTTACTTTGCAGCCTATGTAACGTTTATTCTACGAACGAGGCACGATTCTTTTGTTTTGGCAGATTACGACACACTACATATCTTAGCCGAAGTCATCTTAGTCATTCTTACATTCTGTCCTGGTACAATTCACAGAACTAATATCTGTAAAATGATACTGGAGGAAAGAGTTATGTTCAGATTTTTTTTTTTTGCAGTCGTGGGACTATGTTCCTGTCGACATATTAAGAAAAGTTTTCCCTCCATCATGGAGATGAAAAGGGGAATTTCTGTAAAGATGAGCACATATCTGAAACCCATTGGGGCAAATTATAATATTTTTACTTTGTAATTGTTATCCTGGTGTAAGTCCAAGAAACAGCTGTGCAGGTGCTACACTGATTGATCCTTGTACTTGAATTGGATGTAAGCGTTCTGTTTTGTGACCTCAGCTGGATTAGGACATTTGCCAATAATCATAATAACCCAACAATCCTAATAGAGATGAAGACCCGGTGGGTGTTGATGGCTTCTGACTGTTGTGTTTCTGTTTCCCACACAGGGACCCCAGGTGTTGGGAAGACCACTCTGGGCAAGGAGCTGGCACAGAGGACAGGGCTCACCTACATCAATGTGGGGGATCTGGCAAAAGAAGGTAATTGACTGTAGAGCCCAGGAAGGCAGGACCTGTAGGCTGTGGAACAGTTTCCCCAATTTTCATCTGACGTCCTGAGTCCTCTCGGCTCTCACCCCAGTTTCCAGACCTGTACGGGTTAGTGTGGTGTAATGCGCAGGACTGGGACTAGAGTGCTGCCCTCCTCAGCCTACAAGAGGTCTCTAGTGGTCCTCGGATAAGGCGTTTTCACTAACGTGTGCTGGATGCCAGACTGTCTTGAACTAGGAAGATCGACTGCTGTGGTTTATAGATGCTTGTGGTACTGCCATTCACAATGTATTTGGTCGGAAAATGAGTTATAATAATGATGCCATGCTTAATATGACAGAACTTTGCACACCAATTGATTTCGATTAACGATCTGTGGACGGTTTTTGATTATGTGTACTAAGTGTAAGCTGGTATTAACAGTAATGTGCCTGTTATCCACCTAGGGGAGCTGTATGATGGGTTTGATGAAGAATATAATTGTCCTGTGCTGGATGAAGACAGAGTGAGTGCCATTTATAATTCTTATTACTGTCATATCTTCTATCATGCTATTTATTTATTAGTTGTGGACTTAATCATAATATAGGACATAACATTGTTGCAAAGGCTATGTTGTACCTTGGATCAGTTTTTTTTTTTTTTAGAATTACACATTACTATATATTTTGGGTCAGTATATTGCTGTTGTTTTTGAGATTTTGAGCTTGAGTTTCTTTGCTGGGGAGCATACTGTGTAGATATTATATTTTGTAGGCTTTCGTGATGCTGTGTATAAGAAGAAATAAAATGAATCTCTTTGATAGGAGTTGTATTTAGAAGATCCTGCTGTTTTAAGCAGCATAGACCTCCACTATTGTTACAGGCTGAACCAGACCACTAGACTTGTAGATGTGTGTTGGAATAAGTGAGCCTTTATCTTAGAGACTCCAGTCTTGGCCTATATTTGTCCTTCTATTTAGGTGTATTTACTGGGCCCGTCCCATGCAGTAGGGTGAACTGTTATTAGTGAGATCAACAGGGGAAGATAGTTGAGCAGGTCTGTGAGGGCTGTAGTCACGCAGTCAGTCTGAGGTGAATGAACTCGCAGGTTGTCGATGAGCTGGAGGAGCACATGGGAGAAGGTGGCGTGATTGTGGATTACCACGGCTGTGACTTCTTCCCCGAGCGCTGGTTCCACATCGTGTTCGTCCTGCGCACGGACAACTCCTACCTGTACGATCGACTGCAGAGCAGGTCAGTGCTGTCGCCGCTTCGACTTCTCTTTTATTCTCAGTTGACTGGCCTGGTTAAATAAGGGCTGTGATTGCATTTCAGTAGGCTGACACCTGTCCGTGAAACACATTTCGCAAACATGGCTATTTCTTTTGTCCGTGAGCAAAGATGCGTGTTCTACAGCAGGGTCTGTTGCAGACTCCTTGCTGTCCAAATGAGCTTTCTTTGAAAAGCTTTTTTGTGGAACAAAAGTGTTTGTACTTTTCTTTTACATCTAACTTTTACATATAGGCATTTTAACCTCTTAATGTAGGTGAGAAACTCTGACTAAAAAGAATAGGGTAAATAAAGACATTAGAGGAATTAAATGTCCATGAACCTTTAGCAAGATCTCAAGCATCAAAAATACCTCTCTTGGTGATGAACAGATTGTGGAATTTTTACTTTTTTCAGGGGATACGTGGGGAAGAAGCTTCAGGACAATATTCAGTGTGAGATCTTCCAAACCATTTATGAGGAGGCCATGGAATCCTATAAGAAGGAGATTGTCCACCAGTTGCCTAGTAATGAGCCTGAGGACCTGGAGAGGAACCTGGAGCAGATTCTGCAGTGGATAGGACAGTGGCTGAAGGACAATAACTGAGTGCTGCCAAACCTAGCCACTGCACCTGACACCAAGCTCAGGCCCACAGGTGTCTAAACAGCTGCCGGTCTCCATATAAGATATTTACTCTAGATACAACAATGTGAAGTTTGGTTAGTTTGGTTTCTTCATGATGATTGATACCCAAGGGAAAATCAGTTTTTGAGAGAATATAATTTGATTCTTTTTTGAGAGTTTTTGTTTACTTTGAGATAGGCCAGAAGGAAAGAAATGGTTAAAAAATCACTTTTGAAAATCAGCCCCTCAAGGCAAGAGTGCTATGACAAGGGATTCGTACTGTACCCTCTCAATACCCTGATTTAGCGCATTCCTGCTATTTTTACGAAATCTTGAGACGCTGCTTTTTAATACTCCATTTGCATCATCGTAAGCTTTTCTGCATCACCCCAGTGATATGCCCTAGTATGTATAGAACCTAAAATGCACACAGGCTATAAGAAGACTGCCCATTTTTCCAGGTACTAGTAAGCTCATTGCTTTTCTGAGACTAGTGGTATCATTGTGTCACTTCATGTTCAGATTGTAGATGCCCTGTTCAGAATTCCAGCACGTCCTCACCAGTCCACACAGCCTGGATTGGAATCTTTTTTTTTTTTTTTTTTTTTTTTATCCTGCATTGCTGAACTGCCTTCTAAAATTGCACTGCTATAGGAAGATGCCACTGAGGAAAGGAGAGCTACGTCAACGAACTGCATTTATTTGGAAACGTTTTTGATGCAGCGTATCGGCATATTTGATGAAAACGTAATTTTCCCCCAAGTATTTTTAAAGACCAGTCACCTCCGGGATGGACTACAGCAGAAACTGGGAGAAACACAGATTAAAAAGTAAATCAAGGGAGCAGCTTTGAAATAGGGGAGGCCTTTCCTGGAGCACATTCTGTCCGTTTGTGTGTTAACGGACATGTTTGTCGCATTCGCAGTGCAGTTGAGCTCAACACCAGGTGGTATGGCAGTGTGGTGATGGGTTCCGGGTTCGACTCCATACTGGGGCACCTCCTGTGCACTGTTTGCATGTTCTCCTCATTTTAGTGGAGGTCTTGTGTGGGAGCTCCAGCTTCCTCCCTTCATCCTACGACATGCCGACTAGTTGAGTCGGTGCCTCTTACATCGTCTCTATGCGGGGTGCCTGCCCTGGACTGGCGTCTTTTCCCAGGTGTCATTGCTCCCGGAGCTCCATGCCTCCGGAATTGGCTCTGGATTGCTGCAAGACCCAGCAGGAATCCGTGGATTTCTGATGATGAATGGATGAGTTTGACCAAACGAAATGAGCATAACCATTTGGACTTCCTAAAGGGGTTTTAGGTGGAAATCTGACAATTCAATAGTTGCCCAGTGTTACTGGAGTGTATTTCTGTCTTTCTTGGGATAAAAACGATCCTGTGACTTGTGTTTTGTCATTTAAAATAATATTTAAAGAAATACAATATGGCCGGTTTCTTAGATCATTACTGGACGTAGTCCTAGACCTCCTTGCATAAGTTAACATTTGGTCCAAGAATAGTAATAAGTCTGCAAAAGTTCTGGACAATTTAAAGTCATGTAGAAAAATTGTATTATTTTTTGCTGATATCCATTGAGGGGAAAGATGTTAAATTTTTTTTGGCAAATTGTTTTACAGAATATAAGAATTATTCAAGGTCAATACTGTAAATTCTGCATGGTTATTTATATTGTTTAGCGACAAACTGGATAAAACATGACTTGAATGTGTGAACCATTTGTCTGCCATTTAATTTCTAATTCTAATCTTGGATGACTACTGATAGAATGTTTCCTGCTGTTAACTCCCAGCTTGTCGATACGTGATTTTTCCTATACCGACATTCTTTAATTTATTAATATAATCTGTGTCATGGAAACTGTTTGTAAAGTGAAGATTTGTAAATCGAAAATTTATTCCCATCAGATTATATGGGAATATATATTCCCATATATATATATTTTCACACCTGAAGAAGGCTCCACAGCCGAAACGTTGTTTTCTTTCTTCTTTTTTCAGCATGGAATAAACCTGTTACTTGTTCCTTTGCAGCCTACGCATGCTGACGCAGCTACCCACTTGAACTACATATGGGAGTATATATATATATTCCTCCAATTCGTTCCCAATCACAGAAAAATTACACAATACTTTTCTAACTTGCTTTTCTGTTGTACAAAAGCATTACAATGACAACAGTATGACTTTATTTCCTGACTGTTACAGCCTAGTTAACCTAAGAAATCATGTTCCATTTGCTAAGCAGTTTATATTGTACAGCAGTTATACTATTTAAAGTAGTAAATAAAACCTACTAAACAAGCAATGCATATAATAGTTTTCTTTAGTAAAACTTTTATTATTAATGTAATGTAATACAGAAGAGAAAACTTGAGTTTTTCAAAAAATGTCTTATATATTTGCTACTCTTTGCTGTAACAAAAACTCATAAATTAGTTGTGCGTAAATTGGGGAAATTGCTGTATCTAGAACAGCTCTCAATTAATATTTATATTAATAATTGTCCAAAAGCATATACAGGTAGCATAATTGACTTCTGGGAAAGCTGGCGTGTGTGCGAGTCTGTTTGTATCTGTGTGTGCCCTGCGATGGACTGGATCCTGTCCAGGGTGTATCCTCCCTTGTGCCCATTTCTTGGCAGGGTAGGCTCTGGCTCCCCCGCAGCCCTGTATGGGATAAAGGAAAGAGGATCTATGAATTTGTTCTGTGGATTATTGTGTTGAGGTCTTGTGATGGATTTGCTTTTGCAATAAAAAAAGACGTTGCCAAAGATTGAGGCGTTTGGCAGGAGCACCAGTGACCAAGGCAGCTCGCGTTGCCGGTGTCTCGCGAGCAGTGGTGTCTGAGGGGCTGTGTCGTGTGGCGGGGAATTGTGAGAGAAAGACGTCATCGGAAAAGGGCATCGGCACGTACTCCAGGATTGAGATGTCGGCACATTAATTCGAAGCGTAATGCAAAACAGGCACACAACTGAAGATCAAGTGCCCGTACATTTCAACCTGCGGTGCCAGCGGCGCGATTAATTAAAAATGGTCGTCCAAGAACTCCACCGAGCAGGATAAAATAGTCAGATTTCAGTGGACAGACTGCTCATCTCACCTGGCAGGGCAGAGAGAGGAGGCACTGGACTGCCGAGCAGTGGACGAATGGGATATGGCCAGATCGTCCTTCACCAGCATGTATGGGATATTCATGCTGAATGCCCGAGATGGAATTTCCCTCCTCCAGTAAGAACCGTAGGTGTGAGCTGACTGACTTTCTCCTGGACGATCAGTGCTGTATCCCTCCTGAAAAATTCCAGACACTGGTCTGCTCTAAGCACGCAGTTTGTACTGGCGCAAATCTTTGCGTAACTTTGTAAATAAGAGCTTAGTGATCGCTATTGGAAATGTAAAATTTGCTTCCCCCAGTTTAAATCTACACTTCTCACTTTAGGCCCGAGCAGTGTATTGGCCTTTCTAGTCGCTTCCCTCCATTGTCCTGATGAGTAAAATGATAAAAGAAATTGCATGAATCCTCTGCATACACTGTACCTTTGTTTCAAGTTCAGTACTACCCAGTTTATACGTCTTGTTTCCTTTACAATAAATGTTTGATTTGCAGAGTGTCTACCGATTCCTGAACAACTGAGTCTTTCTGTATTTTTTTTCTATAGTGTTGTGAATTCAGTTTTTTTAGCATGTGACAATTAGGAAGATACAATATATCTATCTCCAAATACATTAGAATGTCGATACAAATAGATACAAAATCGAATTCTACATTTAAACATGACAATTTTTTCGGGATCTGCTTTTTCTAAATCCATGTAACATATCCCTTATATCCCTGTTACCATATAACCTTAACTTTTAAAGTCAAGAAAAGCATTCATTGCTTTACATGTGAGGACAGTAAGGCTGATGGCTCTTCAGGTATCCTCTCCAGTTTTGCTTCTCCCTCCTTCCCGCTTGTGGATGGATTCAATCTTTGTAGTTGTCCTATGCGTTGTTACCACCCCCATCATAATTCTCTGTTCAACAGTCCTTGTTATTGGCATTTGAATGACTCCTTGGCCTGTGGTGGGCAGTTCTGGTGGATTTATGAGCATTGACCACTTTACAAAAAATGTTAATTTAGCCAGATCTCAATAAAATGTCAAAGTACAAAACCTAGTTCGCTTGCTTTACCTCTGTCTTTTAGCTATCTTTTTTTGGAATCTTGCTGAGAACAGGAAATGTGTCTCCCGACAATAAAAGAACGAAACCTGTAAGCACTTGGAACCCTTAAAGGGACTGGAGAACAGTGTTCCAATAACATGAAATCCCACCCTTGTGTTTGGTCATTCTGTGTTAAAGCTCACTATCTGTTGCTCTTTTATGCATTTGAATAAAAAGGTAAAGGTACATGCAGTCATACTCCGAATCTGCATCTGTATAAAACCCATTTAGTGCTTTTAAAGCAATTGCAAATTGAGGGAGTGTGTGTGTACAGAACAAAGTCTGCCTATTAATATTGCATGTCCTGAAAGCAGATATGCCTTGGAGAATGGATACAGTCAAAGTAATTCATACCTCCGGCCTCTATCTTTAAAAAAAAAAAAGACTCCGTTCAATAGGGAGCCTTTGTTTAAGGGAAATGATTGTATATTATTTTACTATCATTTCACCTAATTTCTGTATCAGTGCGCGCACGTAAGCATGTCACCGAACAAGAACTTGTTTTAGCTGACTTTGCCATTTCTCATGATGGGAACAATTGCTGAAAATACTGTACTTCCCAAAGCTGAATGGGAGGAAACAGCATGAGGAACTGGTTCGGTCCTGCAAGCTAACAAGTGGTGGAAACTGCACTTGATCTCTTCTAGGAGCTGCTTCAGCACGCGTTGGCTGCAAAGGAACAGGTCAAGTTTTATTCCCCGCTGGGAGGAGAAGAAAAGAGACGCAACGTTTCGGCTGTGGTGCCTTCTTCATGGGTGGAGCTTTGATACCTGAAGAAGTCTCCACAGCCAAAACGTTTTGTCTCTTTTCTTTTCCTTTCCGAGTGGAATCAACGTTTACCTGTCCCTCTGTTCTGGTAGTGTCAGTTTACATACTGAGCATCAAAAGACACTTAACATTTACAGCTGTAACACATTCACAGGTTTATTATCAGGAAAATGATGAGCTTTTGGGCAGCATGTGCACTGGGATTCTATTGAACAGATACATTCATTGTTGCAGATTGACATTTGTCATCAACAAGGCTCATCAGCCAGTGTCCGCTGTGAAAGTCACAGGGCAGTACAATTCATACATCTGTGACTCGTGCTTTGCAACACGTTGTTGGTGCTGTCTTGTGGGGTTCTGTCCCGTTCTGCTTAGAGATCCTGGATGAGCATGCAGCTGCTCAGTGCTCCCTGGGCCCTAGATGCTACACTCTGATCCTGCTCATTCATCAATGATGATTGTTCCCCACATATTCAATGTGGCTCAAGTCTTGTGAGCAGGGTGCTGTAACTGGCGCATTCTCACCCCAGAAGAAAGCCATTGTTACACATACAGAGGTGAGTAGGATAAGCACACAGGATGGGCAGTGAATGAAATCCAATAACTTATCAATGGAGCACCTTGCAGTCAGGGTGCCTTTAATCACTACAAAGGGAGTCCTGTAGCAACTAGACCAGGGCTGGGCACTCCTGGTCCTGGAAGGCTGGTGTGTCAGCAGCAGTGTGTCTTAAGTCTCTTTGAAGCAGCTGCACCTGAAGAGCTGGGAGAAGCTGTTAAATTAGTCCAATTAAGCCTATAATGAGCTGATTGAGGTCGTTAAGAGCTGGAATCAAAACACACAGACACATGGGATATCAAGTATTGCCCACCCCTGGATTAGACACCCCTGCTCAGACCATCAGACTCAACCCCCCCATTGATCTTGGCAAGGTTCTGTGACTGGTTATCTCCGAGATCATGGCCCCCTGATTGGTATACTGGGATTGATCGGAATATGGCTCCAGGTTACAATTACTGGCTGTGTGCACCCCAGATGATGAGTGATAGTTAACAAAGAGTAAAAAATTCTGGATACTGAAAGCAGTACTTGCTAAATGTAACATGTTTACCATGTTTACATGTTAGAGCCTCTTTCATAAACCAATTGACATGGGTGTAAATCAACCATTGTGTTTCCTGATTTTATATCTGGCAGGAGGCAGGTGGTCAAAGTGAACCAGAATCTCTCACAGCCACTGGTTTCAAATACAGGTGCCCCACAAAGCTGCTGCCTGTTACCACTTCTGTACTCCTTGTATACTAACAGCTGTGTATCTACTTCTGAAACTGTGAAATTAATCAAGTTTACAGATGATACTATGGCAGAGCTAATATCAAAAACGATGAGTCTCTGAACAGGAAGGAGGTCAATGCTCTGGCGAGCTGGTGCAGTCAAAATAATTTCCAGCATAATGTTAGTAATACCAAAGAAATAATCTTTTATTTCAGAGGTGACAAGAATGAACTTTAACCTCTTGTAATTAATGGAAGCCATGATCCATTTTTACAGGGCAACAACTGAGAGTGTGTTAACGTTTTCTGTGAAGGTCTGGTTTGGGAGCTCAGCCACTCAGGAGAGGAAACAGCTGGAGAGATTGGTCCAGACTGCTTCTAAAACAACTGGCTGTGACTGGCCTGTCTGTTGACGCCACCATATACGCAACACTTTTAAATCGAAAAACTCTGAAGATTATCTGTGACCACTCCCACCCAGCGTTTCCCCTGTTTGAGCTCCTTCCCTCAGGAAGAAGGGTAGGATGCACCAGATCCTGAACAGAGCAGTTCCAGAAAGCACCTACCCTGAGGCGGTTCAGTCTCTTAAAACAGCAGCGTAATAAAAGTATTTATGATATTGTGTATCAATACATTTTTGCATTCTATCTTCATTGTAATGCAACATTATATTTTGTTTTGTATATGATGTGTGTTATTTAGGATTTTTCTTTTATCTTACTTTTTTACATCTTGTTATTTCAAGCACACCACAAACAATCCCCAACAACCTACTGTAAAGGCGTGACAAGTAAGTTGTCTTTGACTTTGATTTTAAGATCACTTTATTAGCCATCTACAATTTCTTGTATTAGGAATTTGTCTTTTCACAGACCCCAGCTTGCTCTCCATGAGACACACAGACAGGGAGAGAGAAGCTTGGGGTCAGAGCACAGGGTCAGCCATTTATATGTTGGGGTTAAGGGCCTTGCTCAGGGGCCCAACAGAGTAGGATTCCTCTGCCGGCCGCAGGATTTGAACCGGCAACCTTTCACAGGCGCAGATCCTTAGCCACAGTGCCACCACTCCACCCTTTGTCACCCCTTCACAAAGTTAGGGATGAACCTCACGTGTAATAATAGGGAGATCCTGGACCACAGGGTGGGCTGCTCTATTTTGATGGCAGGGTGACCTTCTGGTGGCAGATACCTGGGGCACACTAGGTGACTTCCCACCCACCTGGGAAAGATTTTGGAATCCCCTGAGATACCACAGGCTGTTACATACAATCCCGCTTTCTGGGGGAGGAGCAGACAGTTCTATTTTTCAGCAGGGCTGTCTTGCACCCCCACTCTTTCGTCACCACTTCACAAAGTTAGGGATGACCCTCGCGTGTAATAATAGGGAGAAACCCGGACCACAGGCTGGGCTGTTCTGTTACAAGACAGCGGACTGCCTCACAAGGAGAGGGCCACAGAGCGATGCGTTGATTGGTTAGGAAGGATCACTCTACCCATCACACACAGCCCAGCTCTCGCACACGTTTGATCCAGTGAGCACAGCTCTCCGTGGTCCTGACCACGAGGGCCAGGTGCAGACACAGGAGGGACTCGGGGACAAACCCCCCTGCCTCGTTTTGTTTCAAGAGCATCTGGCCACAATCTGGTGACGCTGTGTAATAATAAGCTGAGGATCCGAGCTGAAACGTCTTCACCACTGGTGGAGTATGTCTGAATAACTCACCACAGTTGGTGACTTACTAACACACATCTCTTGTCTATTATTGTCTATTGTGAATTGCTAAAACAAACATTTAAATTCCGTGCATTAACTAATTTATTTGCTACTTAAATTCACCCCCCCCCCCCAGTTTGGATACCGCTACGTCATACAGTATCTGGATTTCCAGACTAACAGGTCTTTCATCTTCAGTGATACTGGCTTGTATCTGTATCCAAAACTGTGTTTCAGTGCACTGCCATCAGCAGAAATATTGCTCCAAGACACGGGACAAAGACCTTTCCAAAACATGCTGTGACTTACCTGTTCAAACACTGTATTTTGTATTAAATCGTTCAGTCTGCCTGGTCATGCCTGCACACATACTGAGACAGACTTTTTGCACAGCTGAGAGTTGAAACAGCTGAGAGTTTGGTTATGGCTGTGCTCTTGACTTGCATTATTTACTCTTTAAATGTATTGGGTCTCAACTTATTTAACAGCTCTTAATTATTAGCAGCTCATAATTTAGACCTGGTGACAGAGGGGTATCAAGCCACTGAACATATATATCTCCCAAAGAGATATTAGAAAACTAAGATTAATTAAAAAATAAAGTATCATTTTGTTTCAGTTTATTCATTTATTTTGTTAACGTTCCCCTTTCAGCAGTGAAATATGACAACACTAAAATTATATCTGACAGGATTCCAATAAATGACAACATTTCACAAGAAAAAAAAACACAAAGGGAGCTCCTTTTTGATCTCGGAAAAAAGAAAGCTTCTTGTGGCACGGAAACAGAGGCGAAAAGCGATTACAATGGTAACCAGGGAAACAGGAAATATAAAGGAAATCAGGAACATTTATTGAGAGAATAGAATTATGACCCTTTGCAAAACAGATCAACATTACGAAGGAATTCACTGTAAAGTAAATTGCACTATGCACATTGCACTTTATGTCCCCTGTAACCTGTCAGAAATGTCTGTTTACATTGTCTATCTATAGCATGGTCTTGTCAGTGTCTTGTCTGTATTCGCACCGTAGACCTGGAGAACGATGTCTCGCTCCTCTCTGTATACTTGTATATGGCTGGAATGACAAATACACTTGAACTTGAGGAACTTGTTGAAACAAAAGAGGTCGGTCTGAATTTGCTTCAAAACAGTCTCCTATAAAACTGGTTCCATTCTTCACCCCTCTGCTTTTCTTAGTACCACCATCCACGGTCTCCTCTGTATATTGTAATTGTGTTTTATCTTGTGTAGTCTTCTTATTTATTGTTGTTCTCAACCTGTAAAGCGCTTTGGGAAGCCACCTTTAAAGGCGTTATATAAAATAAAGTTTGTTGTTATTATTATTATTATTTTCTAAAGGAGAACTAGCCCCATTTGTTAATCTCTTATAGAGCAACACTAATTAATGAATAACTGAAGTATTAAAAAAAAAACGCACGCTTTCTCTCCCCATAATATCTGGCCTGTAACCTCTCCGGTAACAGCACTGCACCTGTTGTGCTAACACACTCGTCCTCCAGTTAATGACCAGTTTCCCCGACCTGTCTCAGCCTCCCTCCCTCCCGCGCGCGGGCGGTCTTCGCTCAGGTAAGCTCGCAGCAGGATGTTCGAGGGCTGACGTCACTCTCGGGGATGGGCAGGTCACGTGGTGGGGCTCCTGGAGACCGTGGTCTTGGGAAAAGTCGGGGAGCGAGTGAACGACGCAGGTAAGAGTACGCTTTTGTTTTACTGGGTGAGGCAGCGCCCGGAATATTCATTTTCGTGACGGTCTGATATACCTAGTGCTTTGTGTGCGGAATATCCTGGAGGCAAACGGCGGAAGATTGTGTCTTAAAATGTGCGGATTTCCCTGTGTTTTTTTTGGTGGGGGGGAGTTTGCGACCTGTTGGACGCGCCGTCGATGCCAGGTCGCCGTGCAATCCTGTCGAAACTCTTTCCACGGTTTGTTTTCTTTCGTTTTTCGGGTTTTAGCCTAGCTATCGAAGGGGGGTGACTTTATGAGTTTTATGTCTTTCGTCGGGCAGTGTCGTGAAGTCATCAAATACTGGATCCTGAATTATTTAAGTGCTGAAACGCAGGAATGCGGACTGCAGTCGGAGAGACTTAAATCTACAGTATGTCAATGGTACAGTAGTACGGTATCGTGTTGATGCCATTTCGCTAGTTAGTTAAATGTTGTACAGTATAACAGTTGTTTATTCCTCCTTTACGTACTGGGATGTGTCCATATAAAGCGCACTCACAAGTCGTGGTAAATAGCAGAACTACAAAACCGCCAGGACTTTTGGGATAGCTGGTGTGTTTCCTTTTGAGAATATTTATACTTCTGCCTGTTATATAATGTCCGCGGTCCGTTTTTGAATGGAAGTGTTTTGTTTAATTGTTAGGCCCTAAGCAATTAAGCAGCTTTGGTTATCAGATTACACAAAATCAAGCTCAGTATAACATTTTGTAAAGAAAGCTACTGCTAGTGGGTTTAGGATGATCTGGTTTCTTAGATATACTAATTTATATTAATACGTAAGAATTAAAGACAGACGTTAGTGTTCAAATAAGAGTAAATGCACACAACAGATTTTCTGAAGTCTGTATAGTAGATGTTAAACTTCTAGTAAAAGTGGAGTGTTAGATGTGGAAAATTTAGTTTTTACATTTTAGTGTGTAATGTTGCAAAATAGGTATTTCAAAGTATTTTCACTAATTCTGATCACCACAAATCATCAGCTGCCAAATGTTACTTTAGAAGACTTATTCACTGTCCCCTAGGGTTTATTTGAGTATCACCCTGATTTAAAGTCTTTGCTGGTTCTGATTGGCAGCTCCTGAAGGAGTTAAAAACTCATGTGGCTTTTACAGATAATACAGAACACACTAGTCATCACACAATAGCCGGACTGTGGATACTTGGTAAGATGTGACCTTAACCTTTCTCCTCTTCTCTTTGTAGGTTCATGGTGTGTTAGGAAAACTCTTTTTCTAACTAACTGCAAGGTAATGTAGGTTTTGCTGCATATAAACAAGGTAATAAATCAAATCCAAACTCTTTAAAACAAACCCACTTAACCATTTCTTTGAATTCCACTCCAACATATTTTGTCTTCCGATGCTCTTTCTCTAGAGCTGGAAAATAAAAAGCTGATTTCACAGTGTGTAATTCGGCAGGTTTTTGTAAGAGGCATAAGGGGATAAGGACAGCATAGTACAGAGGGCTTGGGTGATTTTAAATCTTCATTAGTAAAGATGAAGATTAGGTGTTTTGAACAGATGTACAGGAAAGTTTCACACCTAAAAGGGATACGTGGTTTCTGAGCATCTAACCGTGTTTTGTCCAAAAGTTCACAATGGTTTGCAAATTTAGGCTTTTGCAAATGAAAACATTTGTTTTACGGTATACATGCAGTGTACAATAAGGCAAATATTACTGAACCAAGAAAACTCTTGCTATGAATCTGAAGCCATACCAAAACAAACGTTTAAGCAGCAAACATTTTATTATCTGTCCTGAGACTTAAAAAATGAAAAAAATGTGTGCTTTGTTAAAGTTTCTTGGACTATACAAATTGGTATTTAAAAGTCTATGTACGTCTAAACTGATTTTCCATTTCAACAAATGATGTTTATTTAAAAACCTTGAACTTTGTCTGGCTCCAGATTTACCCCTATATACAAACTACCTTACTTCCTTTTCACCTGCTTTAAAGCAACAGTGACCACAGAATATACCCTAACTCCTTACTTACCCTGAATATAAACTGATGTGCATAACTCGAGTATTCAAATATTCAGCAACATGAATATTGAAGACAAAAGAATGTGTTGCACTTTAAATGCCTCTTGGTAAGTTTTATGTATACCAAACAATCACAGAAATTGTGAGCAGCACTGCGGGTCAAAGATTCATGTTGATTTTTCCATTTTGAGTATGACACACCGTCAAAATGAAAGCATTGCACTCTACCACATACACATATAGAATCAGTTATGACTTCCCTGAGCATAAACCCAGTGGTGGCAAGGTTGACTCATAGGCTTAATCCCCTGGGATAGACAGCAGTAAGTATAGTCTGTTAAAAGCATTGGTGAGGTGATCTCACAGATGTTCTACTGCATTCAGATCAGGAGTAAAAGTTGGCCACATCAACTTGTACTGCCCTTGCATTGGGAGGTGAAAATACAAACTACCACCTTCTTATGCATCTTTTTTCCATCTTGCAGGAAATAAAGGACATTTGGTTTTGAGCATTGGTCATGTTTTTAAGCATGGAGACAGCATTGATAATATTTTAAAGTTGAGAATGAATATATTGGGAGTTAAGCTGCTGTGAAGAAATTGTGTAACTGACTGGACACTCTTGTGCTTTTATTTTCATGTACATTCACTCACATCTAGTTTCAGACTAGCAATGGGTACCAATATTAGCATAATTGACCGTCTCTGTCTTTGTAATGACACTGTCCTGCATGTTCTTTGCAGAAATGTTACAGAAGGAGCTGTGTAAAATGCTTAAATTGTTGTAGAAACTTATCTATTAGTGATATGATAGCTTGAAATATTAGTGTTTATATTTATGCATAGAAAATTATTCTACTTCTTACAAGTTATGATTTTGTGTGTAAATGAATGTTCTGCACCCATACTGTACATGAAGAGCAAGGTTAGATAAAACAGACAGAACCAATGCCTTGTACTTTAATTGATTCTGTAGCATATGTGTGCTGTTGAAAGGAGCTCTGTGCATAATTTCAGTTTGTTTACAGTAGTTCCTCTTTGGGAAGCTGACCTTTTGGTCAAAGAGACTCTCTCTCGGACAGGTAGAAATAATGCATTTAGTTCCAGAAATCAAAACCTGGACAGATTGTTCAGTTAATAACAGTATTAGAGCTAGATAAACTCATAATTAAAATTAAAAGATAAGTATTGCAGCAAGCTTAAACCTAAGTAGTTCAAGTAGGTAGGTGCGTTAGGATGCGTAGGCCGCAAAGGAACAAGTAAAGGTTTATTCCATGCTGAAAAGAGAAGAAAAGAAACAAGGTTTAGGCTGTGGAGTCTTCTTCGGGTGAAGGCTCCACAGCTGAAGAAGACTCCACGGCCGAAACATTGTGTTTCTTTTCTTCTCTTTTCAGCATGGAATAAACCTTTACTTGTTTCTTTGTAGCTTAAACCTTGTTTCACCCTTTGGTTATTGATAGCTCTGCTCTATTTCCACTTTTCTCCCTTCCTGCTCTCCTCTCCAGGGCAAGAGAGTATTCCACATGTCTTCTGGAGGAGAGTCGTTGGCCCGCTTTGATCGGGTTCGAGGTCCGCACTACGACCAGGTGCCCCTGGGCTCCCTTGCGAGGGTGGACGCCCCCCCTCGGCCGCTGGAGGACCTGCGGGGAACCACGCTGGCCTCCAGCTCCGACCCCCTGCCGCCCCCTCCCCTGCCCGCCCAGCCCCCCGTGGGGCCCGAGTTCTACCCCAGCGACAGCGAGGAGCACGTGGATCAGCTGGACATCAAGCCGGTCCACCGCTTCATCCCCGACTCCTGGAAGAACTTCTTCCGGGGCAGCGGCAAGAGCAGCAAGGCGAAACCGGAGTCCCGGCCCGGCTCGGCGGACGACCCCCCCGCCCAGGGGGTCCAGTGCTCCCCGCCGCACTCCCCCTCCGTCCCGGGCTCGTACCGGGATCCGTACGGGGGCTCGGGGGGCAGCTATAACTCCCGCAAGGAGAGGGAGGCTATGCTCCCCCTCGACGCCCCGGACTCGTTCGATGGGCGGACCCAGCACACGGCCATGACGTACAGCGAGAAGGTGGAGCTGTACCACATGAAATACTCCTACATGAAGTCCTGGGCAGGCCTGCTGAGGATCCTGGGCTGCGTGGAGCTGCTGCTGGGGGCGGCCGTCTTCGCCTGTGTGTGCGCCTACGTCCACAAGGACAACGAGTGGTACAACATGTTCGGCTACGCGCAGCAGCAGATGTATGGCTACATGGCGCCCGGTGGAGGGGCCTCGATGTACTACAACGGGCCCCAGACTCCCTTCATCCTGGTGGTGGCCGGGCTGGCTTGGGTGATAACGGTGATCCTGCTGGTACTCGGCATGACTATGTACTACCGTACCATCCTTCTGGACTCCAGCTGGTGGCCGCTGACCGAGTTCATCATCAACATCGCCCTCTTCGTCCTGTACCTGGCGGCCGGCATCGTTTACGCGCGGGACACCACCCGCGGGGGGCTGTGCTCCTACCCCGTCTTCAACAACGGCATCAACGGGGCCTTCTGCCGCGTGGAAGCCGGGCAGACCGCGGCCCTGATCTTCCTGTTCGTCAATACGGTCGTGTACCTGATCAGTGCCATCGTGTGCCTGAAGCTGTGGAGGCACGAGGCAGCCCGGAGGTACAAGGAGAGTCTGAATCTGGAGGTGAGGTTTCTCCGCAGCAGTGATCTGACTACATATCAAGATGCAGTGAACCCCGCAGACCCTGTGGTTTGTACCTGGGCTTGTGTGGGTTTCTGTGTGTTATAGGAAGTTTAATAATAATTATTTCTTACACTTGTATAGCTCTTTTCTTTTCTGACTGGGCCTCCTTAATGGCTATACCAAGTTGTGCTATCAGAACAGGGTGCACTATTTTGAAAATTATGACAGAAATGCATGTTTGCTCTTTAATATTATTAGTTTTGTAAATGCTTAATTTAGTACTTAACTAAATAGTGATTTGATTGATTGCATGAAAATTGTTGCTCTGTTTTGCTTATCAGAAGCCTGCAGCTGTGTGCTGTGTTCTTACAAGCAAGACAAAGCATGCTACGTCCCCACTGGGTCTGTTCCAGATTAAGGCGGTAGATCAGGCTGTTGTGCTTCACTGGGTGTGAGCCTGGGTCTTCTGAGAGACAGGCTCATTGGGCAGTTGGCATTCGTTCAGGGATAAAATAATTGATTATTGGAAAGGTATATTTGTGAGAGAAAATAATGTGGAGTTGCTGTTCAAGCACTTGGAATGTGATTTAAATTGTTGCAAATTAGGTAATGATTCTCACTCCTTAGTGAGGTAGAGATTCTGTATAATTATGCATAACTATGGATATCTCTTAATACAGTTGACACTTGTTTGTGATGTGCTTTTAATAGTATGCTTTTGTGTCCTTTATTTAGACAAAAACAACTGCATCTGCGCCAAGATCCCTGGTAAATATTTTGCTTTTTTTTCCACATAATATGACGTCAGTGTGGAGGATTTACGGTAGTTTGTACTGAGATGCATTTTGTAACGAATTACTCGATAGCTCAAATTTCCACTCGATTCAGAATTGCTTCTTTGAGAATTACTGTTGTTTAACAGTTATCCCAAAAAAGTACATTTGAAGTTACAAGATCGGGTCTTTAAATGAGCTTTGATAATGATACGGTCATACTTTATCACTCTGCTTTGTATTCGTTAAGATAAGGTGGAAAGATGTAAGATGTCATTTAGCGAGAGGAATAAATGCCCGAACAGTCTGACCTCCAGAAGGATCCAAATCTGTGGTTTCTGCTATCTGCCAATGTAAAAGATAACAAACTGAGTGTTTGTGAAAGAGATTATATTTGAAGCAGCTCATTGATTCTTCTGATAATAGAGCCTGAGGTCTTATCGCTGTATATATTCTGCTGTTTGTTAGATATTAGTTTTTGCTCCTTTAAACAGGAGATTGTGCCTGTCTCTATCACAAAATACACAGTCTTTGCTTACTTAAGTGTTTCACATCTTAGGGAAGTAAGATATGAGTAATAAGAGATGTTGCAGAAACTCTGGTGTGGCCCTTTTCTTGTTACTGATCTGCGGTTACTGGCCAGGTTGTTGCAGGTACAGGAGCACCAGAACCAAGCGGGGTACCAGTAGTGATGAAGCCTGAGGTCTATACAGGGCACATTCCTTCAGGACACATTCCCAAGCCCATAGTGATGCCGGACTACGTTGCGTAAGTGGAATCTAATTACTGATCCTTTTTGTACAGTTCTCTAGCAGTATTTGTGTGGGGAAAGGGTGTGTTTCCTATTTCCTGAAGCAAGAGAAGGTATAAGTAAAATGTATGGGAATTGGTATGAAACTGTTCTTCAGCCGAGTGTTTCAAAATCAGGAGTTTCAACCTCGGGCGTTATGTTTTTTTCTGTTTTAGCCCGAGTAGTCAACTGAACAATCAACTGTTTTCTTAGTCCTGCTTATGTAGGATTTGTCTTAGAGCCCCTAAATCATTCCCTTTTAAGGGCACAGTTACCATTAAACGTCTCAGAATGTGGTTTTAGCATCCATTGTCATTTTCTTGATTTCTTGATGACTTTAATAGCAGAACAGTGTGAATTTCTAGAAAGTGCCTGAGTGTGACTTCACAGAAAACAAAATCAGACTGACAAGGATTTAAAGAACATAGAGGATATAGGCACAGTGCTGAAAAGATGCCAAAATTGATCGTTTAAGACACTTTGAAACACAGATTTACTCTCAGTTTGTTGAAAATCATAGTTATATTTTGTAGTGCTTTATGTTCTTACCTTTTGCATTACTTGAAGAGTGAAGATGTCCATTGGCACATCAACAATTTAAGTTGGAGCTATGAATTGGGGCTGTCATTTTGAAGAACTAAATATGCTCAATGCTTACATTTTAATTGTATGGAAAATAATGATTTCCAACTAGCAGACCACATGGTGAAGAGCTCCGTGAATAGCTTCTGTTTCACTCTTTCCTTCTGTTCGCAATAGATTGCATTAAAATCGTGACTAAAACTGTCCTTCTTCCCAGTAAATATCCTGCAATCCGGTCCGACGAGGAGCGTGATCGCTATAAAGCTGTTTTCAATGACCAGTATGCCGAGTACAAAGAACTGCATTCGGAGGTGCAGGCTTCGTTGAAGAAGTTCGATGAGATGGACGCTATGCTGGCAAATCTGCCCCAGTACCCAGGAAACCAGGTGGTCAGTAAAAAGACTATTATCATCTGTCTGGCTTGATTGTGGGGGTGTATTCAATTTTTTTATGCTCCTAGTAAATGTTGTCAAAAGAAAGCCCTTTCTTGTTGTATGATTTTTTTCCTCCCACAATGCAGTCCACATTGACTTATAAATATCTCCAACATTAGTGGTCTCTGGTCTTCTTTTTTTATTTTAGACTTGGAAGTATAGTTTCTAACTTGTCTTTTTCATAAATGAACAATTGAAGTAGTTTGGGGTTTGTACTGCAGCATTTTGTAGTTTTCTTTTTTTTTTAACTGATGTAATTTATACTTCAGCTGATCTTCCACAAAGGAAACCTGCTTTATTACAAAACTTTCAATAAAGCACCGTTTTTTTTTTTAGGAGCGCGACCGGCTTATGAAAATTCAGCAGGAATTTCAGATGAAGAAAAATGTAAGTTTGGAGATGTGAGCTTTGCAAACTACTTGATTTGCAGTTAGAGAAAGGCTCACACAGAGCATTATACAGGCATACATCCAGGAAGAGCAGATTGGGGTAGCCGTGGAATTTTTTGTCTTGTTGTAATACCCTTCTATGAGTTATGGACAACGAAGGGCAAAGGCTACACATTTATATAAACGAAAATAAAATTCACATATACTTTATTTTACAATCATACCCTGTATTATCTTTGTAAGAATTTATATGTCAGGATACAACCGACTAGAATAATTAGGTCTTTTTTAAAATTGGCATTACATTTTCAAGCTTGCCTTCAAGTGTCGCTTTCTCAGATTAGTTTGTTCCCACTTTCAAGGAATTCAAGTCTCTCATCTTCCTCTTATTCAGTTTCATTGTGTTACCTCTTTACTCTGTTTTCCTGCTGTGGTTTACAGTAGGATAAACATACTGCAGAGAAACACATCTTTGTCAGTCGAGTTCCTAAGCCTTGTTAGAGAGAGACATGTAAGGAAGAACTTTTCACAGTACTTTAGTGTCATCAATGCCACGTAGTGGAGCTTTGATTTGCTTCTAGTTGTTATTCTTTGCCATTCAGCTTTCAAAACCACAAGCTTTAACTGGAGTGGTTTGCATAGAAAATGGAGAAACCCGAAGTGATCACATTCAATACCAGTAATGAGACATGCATCACAGAAAATGAGCATGGGACAAAAGTATTGAAGAAGTGTATTGCCCACGTTAATCCTCACATTGCCCCTTGGGGAAAGAAGACCATGCACACTGTCCCCTACACTATGTGCTATCAGAGTCATCTGCTGTTTTTAGTACCACAGCTTCTACAGCACAGGTAGCAGTGACTGGAGGGGTTGTGCCCATTCACTAATGACACTACAAACCCAGAGGAGGCCTGTAGGTCACACGATGCTGCTGCAAATCAAGTCAGACGCGTTCTGGCTGTGAACTGTGGTCTTCATGGTCAGCTAAAACTGGTGATGTGTGGACTGCCAGGCTGAACCAACCCCTTCCCCACCTTGGGGACAAGAGGTGCCTTTCTAGTTTCAGTCCCTAGAGACCCCCGAACCTTATACTAAAATTGGGCATTAAAGAATGTCAAGCTGCAGTGTCACAGTTGTTATAGGTGTTTCAGTCTCGCCACTTTCCAACCTGAGTGGTTTAGTCTGTAAAAGGCCTCTTTACAGCAGGAGGCTCAGAGCCCGCAAGCCACAGGTACAGGTATGTTATCTGTACTTGTGTACTCATCTCAGCCAGGGTGCCCCGTGACCTTGTACAGCTGTTGGGTGTTCCCAAGTCTGGGCATCGTTACCGTTTCCATGAGCACATTAGATGATGTGACTCAGGCTGGGTAAGGTTGGAGGGTAACTACTGGTAATTGGCAGTTTCGGAAACTGGGGATTACATTGTTGAGTATGTCAAAAGGAAAAAGCATTTAAAAATTACAATTCCTTTTGCTTATGTGTAGCATCAGCAATAGTAGTGGCTGTGTGGGGGGTAGTATTCGTAGTGGTTGTATTTTTACTACGTGCTTAAAAGGTTGTATTATGTTTCTTGCAGGACCCGAAGTTTTTGGAGAAGAAAGAACGCTGTGAATATTTGAAGAATAAGCTGTCGCACATAAAGCAGAAAATTCAGGAGTATGACAAAGTTATGGACTGGAATGATGGCTATAGTTAAAAAAAAGGTGGAATTGAGATTTTATTTCTAGTATTTTAACTGTGTTGATTCAGTTTAACTTTTTGCTTTGAAAATGCATTTTTTTGTGTGTTTGTGAGCCCATCAACCACAGTGCGGATTGCTTGACTATACTGGTTATTTTCCACTCCCTTCAACTCAGTAGAGTTTATTTGAGGAGTTCCTTGTGTGGAGTTAGTTGATTGATCGGCAGCTATATGAGGAAAAAGGGACTGTGAAGAAATTATGCATAAAGCTTGGCAACACCTGGCCCCACGATCTTTGATTTTCTTGATAGGTCAACTGTGGCTCAGCTGCGTCCTGACTTTGCTCATTTCGTAAAGCTTTGACTGATGCTTAAAGAAAGCTGATCTGTAATGCAGTTTTATTTCTGTTCAAGCCAAAACCCCAAACTAGCAGCTGCCAAATATGTACTACAACTGTTATATTCATTTCCTTGTTCGGATCCTCAAAAAGGAAAGTCTTTCCTAGCTAGCAGGTTGTGTAAATATCTTTGTTAGTTGCAGGCATAAATATTGTAAGTTTGCATTTAAGTCTCCTGGGGTGTTAAATGTCATCTCTCATTTTGGAATTGTCTGTGTTTTATATTGTACAGAATATCTTCCTGTATTTTAAATGAAATCCTTTATAGTGTTTTATCTAGTCATGTAACCGTCACATTTTTCAGTTAAGCTTATAAATACTTTTTTTTGTATGGAAAACCTTAACTTTTCGATTTCTTCAATGTGATTATATAAGATTGACTCCAGTTTGTTCATCTAGGCTGCACTATTTTGTTGTGTAGTGCAAAAATGCCCTCTGGCAGACCAATCTTCTACTATTGCAAAGCAGATTTAGAAACTTTGAATTCACTGTTTGAACTAGATATAGATTCACAGTAGATTTTTAAAATGAACTACCTGATTTCTTAGTACTTAAATAAGTGTGGAATTGTGTTCTGTACAGTTTGTGTAAGTATACAGTTAACTCTGGTTTGGAATTTCTTAAAACCAATTATGTTGGCACTGTAAAGACCAAAGTATAAAGTATCATTTTCCTGTTAATTTCAAGTTGGAAGTGAGAGGGTACAGATCCCTCTGTACCAATGTGCTTTCCCTGTGTAATCACCACCAAGTCATTTTCTGTGCTTGCTTACTCGCGTAAACAGACATGACTTGTTTTGTAGCACGTCACACAGTGAACTTCATGAAATGAATGCTGCCTGTGTTTTGAATACTAATATTACAATATGAGGTAGAAAACGCCTTCCTTCTGACCTCGTTGCCTTTATTTATTTAAAGAAAAACCTTTGTTTTTATAGCCTTCAGGTCTTCACGGCCAAACAACATCATCCAGTCAATTAAATGTATTTTACAAAAATATTTTTGGCAAATCACTTTTGTTTGGGGTGTCTTCCACAAACGGGGTCATTCATAAATTGTCAGAATCTCGCTAAAAGCATCCAGAAGGGGCATGCCAAAACAATACCAGAGCAGTGGTGCCCAGTCCTGGTCCTGGTGACCCGCACACCTACAGTACTGCTTTTCATTCCAGCTCACCTTCAATAGATAATTGAAGCCTTAAGATAAGAAGTTGCTTCATTTAAATATTACCATTTTGTTTCCAGTCACAAGTTTGAGATTTTATTTCACTGACAAAATACAACAGTTAAAGCTCCAACATGTGTAAGAGCTGGGAAACAATCCTAATCTTACTGAGTCAATGAAGGGTTCAGCTGGAGCAATACCTAACAGGTGTGTGGGTCACCAGAACCCCATTGGGAACCACTCTTCCAAGTGGCTTGAGATTCACAGTCTTTGCCAAAGCAAACAATTCTAAGTAGAGAGGTACACATTGCTCCTGGCATTTTTCCTGTGGTTCAATGCAGAGTGACTATTACAGGTCTACATGCACACTGAGATTTTGGAATTCAACAGGAACAAGATACAGAAACAGGAAAGACTACTTTTTTTTTTTCGGGCCTGGCAGACGGGCAGCAGAGAGATCCCTGTATAATCTCCATAGTCAGGGCTGCACTTTTGAAGATCATTACAATCATGTCATAATTATAATTCCTTACACTTATATAGCGCTTTTCTGGATGGGTCCCTCCACCACTACCACCAGTGTGCAGCCCCACCTGGATGATGCGACAGCAGGCATAGTGCACCAGTACGCTCACCTCACAACACTCACTGTGGGGAGGAGAACAGAGTGATGAAGCTAGTTCATAGATGGGGATTGTTAGGAGGCCATGATGGGTAAAGGCCAGTGGGAAATTTGGCCAGGACACCAGGGTAACATCCCTACTCTTTTTGAGAAACACCCTGGGTTTTGTAATGACCACAGAGAGTCGGGACCTTGGTTTTATGTCTCATCGAAAGGACAGCGCTATTTTACACTATAGTGTCCTCATCACTATACTGGGGCATTAGGACCCACCCAGGCAGCAGGGTGTGCGCCCTCTACTGGCCCCACTAACACCTCTTCCAGCAATAGCCTTAGGTTTTCCCAGGAGGTCTCCCATCCAGGTACTGACTGAGCTCACGCCTTCTGAGCTTCAATGGGTCACCAGTTGGGAATTGTAGGGTGATATGGCTTCTGGCATCCATTGTTGAAAGCATTTGGGTTTACCTTACCATTGTGGTTGAGGAAGGTGTGGAGGTGTAGTTTCAGTTCCTGACCACAGCCCTCTTATCCATTAGCAATTCCATCTCTTTCTGCCACTTCAGTTGGTGGCTTTCCTTTCTATACGTTGGTAGAGTTCAGTAATATGTTTAAAAACAATTTTCAAACAAGCCAACCAAAAAAATGAAGGAATAAAAACAACCTCTTAGAGTGAAATGTGCACAGCTCCCGGCCGATTCTGTATATGCTGTATGCTTCCTGTATTTAAACCACAGCTATGCTGCAACCTGTTTATCAACATGCATGTCATGGGATAATGTGGACTTCAACCAAAAGTGTCATTAGAATAACAGAAAAAAGTTCGCAATTTGTATTTTAACACTGACGCACACTTTTATTTTTAAAACATTAATGTATTAAAGTATTTTTCTCTCGATTGTACTGAATACAGGCCTTTCTCTCCTTGATTCCTCTTGCGTACTGTATACATTTACATCTTTTTTTTATTGAAACATTTATTCAAACATTTCTAGAACTCAAACGTGCCACCGAGTTTCTGAGGGTGAATCTGCTTGAGGGTCGTAGACCTTTGGGGCGTTATCTCATGCTAAGCGCATTTGTGCACAACAACATCACTCTGGCCCTGTTGGTATTGGGCTTTAACCTGTTTTCACTTCTGAATAGCTTCAATAGCTTCAGTGTTTAAGTACATTTATAATAATAATAATTGCTTACACTTATATAACACTTTTCTGGACACTCCACTCAAAGTGCTTTACAGGTAATGGGGACTCCCCTCCACCACCACCAATGTGCAGCATCCACCTGGATGATGTGACATTCTCTCACATAGTACACTCACCACACATCAGCTATCAGTGGGGAGGAGAGCAGAGTGATGAAGCCCATTCATAGAGGGGGATTATTAGGAGGCCATGATTGGTAAGGATCAATGGGAAATTTAGCCAGGAAACCGGGGTTACACCCCTAGTTTATAACACTTAGAGCTATTAGACACACCAGAGAACGTTAAGAGTAATTGCACTACGTATGAGATCTGCAAATACCACGTGTGAAATACAGAAATAGCGGAACTCGTTACCAATATTAGGCCGTCAAGCTCAGTACACTGTTTTAAAAAACATGACTTTTTAATTTAGCTTTTAGTTAAATCTGTTTTCCTGTTTTTTTTGTATTTATCTTTCTATTTAATTTCTTTATCCTTTATTTATTTTCTTACAACTTTCTTTTTTTTTCTTCTTTAAGCATAATTTGACATTTATGTTGCTTTACTTTATTACTGTGTTTTGTTGTGGGTTTTTTTACAACTGAATGTTTATCTGTTAAGGTTTTACTTTTATTCTTGGTTTGTAAAGCTCTTTGGGCTGCTATTTGTAGGAAAGGTGCTCTATAAATAAAGTTTTTTTTATTATTATTATGATTAATGTCGTTTTCATTCATTTGCACGGGAACGTGTGATTTAGCATCCTACTAAAAAGAATTAATGCGACCCAATCCAAAAAGGGTACTGTTTCGTTTCTACACATTTTTTCACATGATTTCTGTGAGAGGCGTCTTTAAGACATTGGCCGGGAAGCTGAGAACTAGTTAAAACTCCTCCGAGCCGAACTAAGGCGGTGAGACGCAAAATGCGTGGTATGTATCCGAGTGCCGCAGATTGACGATCTGAAGGTGTGTTGGTGCGGACAAAGGGAACGCGCCCAGAAACCCCCCAAGACATTGACACCTATCGCAGGTCTTGGGTTGAAAATGTGACGCTAAATAATAATAATAATAATTATAAACGCTAAAGAGAATCTGTCCTCTGTTGCAGAGCGCGGTAGCTAACACGGATTGATTGACTTGCAAATTTAAAATTGCGCCAAAGTAGCTAGTAGTGGTGGACAAAACAAAAGTATTCTGAATAAACAAGAAACTCTTTAGAGAAAGTTTGCTAAGGTACTTCAAGCAAAAAAAAAAAAGATGGTTTGCGCGCTGGGTGGTGTGTATGTACAGTAGTTCTCTTCAACATACAGTGACTTTTTTTCTTCAGTCTGATGTGTGCTTATAGTTGAGTCAATGAAGTAAGTTTTACTTGGTGATCCAAAGTGGATCTTTGTGTTTTTGGCTAGTGCAAACACAACTTCTCTACAAAACACATCTGAGATCCGAGCGCTCCTGCCGTGTTCGCTAGTCGTAGGGGGCTGGTAGGCGCAGTCAGAGGTGAAGAAGTTCATCCGAGTGACGATTTTCAGCTTCATAGCTTGAACACCTGCATGAGTGAATAACAACAAACATAAACACAACTAATAATGACTCTCAACAAACCATTGTGTGTGTCTGTCCTTTTCAAGACAATCATTAAAATGACTGCACATTTCGACGGGGGAGGGCTATTTTGAATCAATACTGAGTTAAAATGAAAAGAGAGAAAATATAGAGATGAACACGGAATATTATGTTTCCAATGTATCATAAAGGCAAAACATGATCAATGATGAGACGAAGACGAGACGTGCTGTCACATAACAAGAGTTACACATGTGGGGTCCTGTTTTCACAATGTACACCTCAGCGCCTTCATTTGTAATTTATTGATGGCTTCAATCAGACGCATCTCCTGATTGTAAAGCGCAATCAGCCTGCAGTTACAGAGGTTTTTTTTGGTTGTATTTTTACGGTCTTAATTTCTTTTACTGCTTTTCCCCTCCATAATTAAAAGTATTTTCAATGTTAAATTTCAAATATTCTTCGAAATAACAACAACAACAACAACCGCGTCACCCGGAGGAACCGGCTCGTTTGCTTTTGAGTACAGGTTCAGCGCTCTAGGGGGAGGGTGGATGCAGTGTGTTGGTTAAGGATATTAACAGACAGCACCAGCGCGATCGCAGGTGTGTGACAATCGCAGCACTAGTGTCGCTCCCTAGGCTGGGGTGACTGAGCGGACTAAAAGCGGTTTTTAAAGAACCAACACGCAAGATCAAAAAAGGACTAATACATAGTGATAACACGGAGTAAGAGTCGGTAAGTCTTGTTCATTAATGTGTGCATTTACCCAGTTTCTTGTGAATTGTTTTGTCGTTTAAAACGCCGGTTTTTTTTTTGACTTCATTTTTTTCCTTCCCGTTTTGGGGCCGGCCATTTTGTCTCACCGATGTTTCGACACGTAAAATATATTGTCGGGACCATTGCAGGTCGTTCAAGCCGGGTTACCAGCGCGGTGACGTTAACCGCCCTTCCCTGTGGATAGCAGGGACCGCAGCTTTTGGGCTGAGGGGAAATTTGCTTTTAGTTCACCAGGCTGTGTCCCTGTTGAGTTACGCCGGAGGCCCGGGTTCGAGTCCCCAGCGGTGGAGGGCCGACCTGAGGAGGCAGTGGTGAGGGCGTATACCCACGTGAACCCAAGAGCGCTACAATATACCTCTTGGTTTACAGCTGGTTTTGTTCCCAACTGCTGTCTCCCATGTGATGTAAAATTGAAAGAAATGTCATTTTCAAAATAGGTTAGAACAATGAGGGACAAGTGTACATCTCTTTACGGACATATTGTAGCTGTCTGGTCTTTATTTTACTAGATGGTAAGGCTGTTAAAAAGACATTTGGCTTCGAGTTTTGTATGGTGATCTGATAGTTGTGTGAAAAGCCCTTGAAAATGCTGACATCATCTTGAGGGGAAACAAATTTAGTTGAACCTTTTGTTTCAAAAGAAACTATTATTAGTCACTTATTATATTGCCATTAAATTAATGATTAAAAAGCATTTGGATTCAACAGCTACATACTGCCCTTCCAAACTTTTGGCAAATGGCATGCTTTGTAGGTGTGACTTATTCTGTCCAAAGTAATTGTAACAACCCAAAAAGAAGTATGTCCCATGATTCCTTAGGAATGTAAAGTAGTAACAGATCAGGCACAAATCGCCATTTGTCTGAAGTGAGATTACAAGAGGCAAGATGGCTAGCACCAAGGACTGCGCTGATGAAGGCAACAGCAGACCTGGCTAATGTGTTATTTCGGAGAGCCTCAGAGGTCTACTGGTAATGGTTGGTCTATATAAAAACACACCAAAATGAAGTGCCATTGAGGCGCATGGAGCTATTGAACCAAACGTGGAGAACACAATTTTCACACCTTGTTAGAAATAAATATCACAACATCATGACTACAAAGGATGCCATTCAGCTCATTGAGCTTCATTTTGTTTTAGTCACTTAGGCAGAACTGGTCCTACTGGAAAACAACATCCTCACCCTCATCTCGCTCTCCAGAAAAGGACAGGAAAGGGTAGTCCATCAAACCTAACTCCATCTGTTTTGGTGGTAAAAAGAAACTGAAGCACCTGGCAAAAAACACTACGAGCACATACAAATAATTATAATAATTGCTTACACTTACATAATGCTTTTCTGGACACTCCACTCAAAGCACTTTACAGGTTAATGGGGACTCCCCTCCACCACCACCAATGTGCAGTATCCACCTGGATGATGTGACATTCTCTCACACAGTACACTTACCACACATCAGCTATCAGTGGGGAGGAGAACAGAGTGATGAAGCCAGTTCATAGATTGGGATTATCTGGAAGCCTTGACTGGTAAAGGCCACTGGGAATTTTGGCCAGGACACTAGGGTTACACCCCTACTTTTTTTGAGAAACACCCTGAGGTTTTTAATGACCACAGAGAGTCAGGACCTTTGTTTTACGTCTGATCCGAAGGACAGTGCCTTTTTACAGTATAGTGTCCCCGTCACTATACTGGGGCATTAGGACCCACACAGAAAGCAGGGTGAGTGCCCCCTACAGGCCCCTCTAATTCCTCTTCCAGCAGCAACCTTAGTTTTTCCCAGGAGGTCTCCTATCCAGGTACTGGCCAGGCTCACACCTGCTGAGCTTCAGTGGGCTGCCAGCTGTGAGTTTAAAGGTTAAATGGCTGCTGGATAACATACAAACTCCACACAAGTGAAGTTGGAAACAAACCTAAGACACATAAGGTAAGGCAGCAGCACCATGGTGCTCTAGGCAGTCAAGCCTGGAAAGGCTCACCTTTGATTTCAACCCAAATGGGGGAGATTCTCTTTCCACACCAGTCCTAAATCAGAAGCTGTGGGAAATGGGCATTTAAAGTAGTGTGACAATTCACAAATCACTAGTGTCCGGGCAGACAGCAAGGGCCACCCACTGCGATCTTGTGAAAGGAGAGACTGGACTTGTGAACACTGGAAGAGTGTGATGTGGGGAGATGTATCGCGTTGCATACAGTTAAGAATGGACGACACATGCCATTTATGATGGTGATGGCAGTATGCACTGGACCACACAGGGCTGCTGGTGGGGCTGTCATGGTCTTCAATTCAGGATAATTACTTTAAATGCTGTTGCATTTTTCAGCATCGCCGCTGGCAGGTGATTCTGAAGGTCTTTTGATTTCTTTGTCTTCCGTTGCAGAAGTTACAGGACCACACCCCTGAGGAAACCCAGATTGCAGCTGCAGGAGGACCAGGCTTGCACCCAGCAATGTCTGCTAAACCTTCCCATCACTCTAGCAGGGCAATGTATGTATGCCGATGCTTGCTCATCTCTTCTATACCTACAAGTTGGAGACTCCTCTGCTTTGCACAGTGTTGCCTGGTAGAAGACGTGTTTCTAGTTTCCTGTCACTTTAAAAAAAAATGTTTTAGCCATGCACGGCCTTGTTTCTTCATGTCAGCACAGTATGTAAAAAAGTGTTGCACAGTACAGCAGCAGTCTGTCTCCCCACCAGAGACCTGTGGGGTATTTTCTTTTTATTTAATGTGATGTACTACTAATACCACAAAACTGAGATTAAAAATATACAACATTTCAAGAACTATTACTAGAAAAGGACATTTAGGTGTAGGTCTGGAAAGAGTTACCATAGCTGCTTTTGTAGCACAGGTTATGGGAAGATTTTATTCAAACTACATATGGATTTTTTCTTTTTAACCGCAGATTTTTTTTCAACTTAAAACCCACTCTTGTTTGATGTTCTTTGCCACGTCCGAAAATCGTGCCCTGTCTTTTTTCTTTTTCCCGTTCCAGTCCGAAGAGCGGCTATTCGCACTCCAGGGGAACCCACAGCCGCCGCGTGATGTCCCAGCCCGCGTACTCCTACTCCTACCCGGACGGCGAGTTCCTGCACTTCTACAAGTGGAACTCCCCTCCGGGCATCATCAAGATCATGGCCATCATCATCGTCATCCTCTGTGTGGTTGTCTTCGCTTGCGTGGCCTCCACCCTGGTCTGGGACACGGAGATGGGGCTCACGGGTTTCCCCGGAATGGGGATAGGATCGTACGGAGGCAGTTTCGGCAGTGGGGGCAGTTTCGGCAGTGGGGGCAGTTACGGCGGTTTCGGGGGCAGTTACGGCGGTTTCGGGGGCAGTTACGGCTCCGGAGGAGCTTCCGGCTACGGAGACATTGGCGGGAACTACTTGGACCCCAGGGCATCCAAGGGATTCATCATTGCAATCGCGGCCATCGGCTTCCTGGCAGCCCTGGTGATCTTCATCTTGGTCATCTCCCGGCAGGAAACCTCCAAATCCAGGAGGTTTTACCTGGCCGTGATCGTCATCGCCGCCATCTTGTGCTTCCTCATGTTCATCGCCACCATCATCTACCTGGTGGGGGTGAACCCTGCCGCGCAGACCTCTGGTTCCATTTACTACAACCAGGTCAAAGCTCTTTGCTCCCAGTATGAGGGCAATAGCGCCCCCGCCTCTGGAATCTTCGTCAGCCAGTATCTCTACCATTTCTGCGTCGTCGAGCCACAGGAGGTTAGTGACACTCTGCTAGGACCCACTGGTGTGGGCCTGTCTGTCGCCCCAGGCTGGGGAGATGTCCAGTTTGTGTTGCTTTTGTGTAGAAGTGCATCCTATTATCAGCTTTGAATTTACTTCAAACTAGTTTCCACTGTTTCCACCTAATAGAACGATTGATTGTAGCGATCCAGTCTTTTCAAACAATGAAGATAGCGTTATTGAAACGGGGACGAGAGAACTATTGGGAACCGTGATCATACGAAGATATGTTTTGAAGTAGATTTCGTAAACAGCACAGGTAGAGTTCAAAATAAAGGTTTGCAGCTTTTGGAAAAGCAGAATGTGAAGAAATGAGAGTTCAAACAAATTCATACTATGAGCAAGCAAATCAGAGATTAGAAAGTGCTGACCCAAATGGATTTACAAGTTTATTAAAAAAAACTAAAGTGGGTCCTTTCTCTGTATAGGAATGGATAGTAAAATAATGAATTTACAGTGTAGTTAAAAATGCAATTGGAAATGCTACGCGATATAGAAAATAATATTGTAATTGAGGCTAAAATGAATATATTTTTTTCAATATTATAACAGCAAAACAAAAATCAAAGGAATATTGCAGTCAGGCGTATACTGAAAAGGGGAATCTTCTGTATTAAATAATATTTTATTAGCAGAGATCAGGCAGAAATGTTACAATTTCTACAATGACATAAGATATAGAAGTATTCAGAGCCATTTGACATTCTATCAAATGTATTTAATGAAACAAGATATTAAGTGGCTGTTAACTAAACTCTTCCAAGTAGTCGCCAAAACAGGATTAACACCCACTGACGGAAAAATGGCTAATGTCGTGCGTAACCTTACAAATGGTAACAAAACTGAGTCAACTGAATATAGAGCTGTTGCGTGTAAAGATCTGGACATAATAATTTCAACTAAAGTAAAAAAAAATCATCTGTAAGGCAGCAGGAATCTAGGGATCGGTAACAAATTTAGTATGTGTTGTTCTTAGTTAACGCGTTTTATGTCCTTTGGCGCTTGAACACGTCAAGAAATACTTAGCCCACTAAGGGGAGAAATACACGTAAGTGCAAATATTTAAAGCTTATTTCTGTTTTATTTGCAGGTTATAGCCATCGTGTGTGGCATCCTGGTCGCTATCGCTTTAATCATCCTGCTGGTTTACGCTGTGAAAACACGAAACTTGCTTAATCGCTATGGAAGAAACAGAGTCTTGTGGGACAATGTCCGAGTCATTGATTATAACGCGCGACTCCGAGCCGAGGAAAGGGTGAGTAGCTCTAGAAACATGGAAAGCGCCAGTTATTTTGACGTTTGATTTTTTTTACTTAATGACCAAAAGTTCACGCGATTACAATGATGAGGTATAAAACAAAAACTCAGATTTGTCATTTTTAAAAATTATTTTCCCGACGGGCTGCGCATGCTTCAGATGTTCTTAAAACATGATTGTCCGTCGGGTTTCTCGTAGGGTTTTTTTTTTCTCCAGATTGAAATATTTTCCTATATGATTGTGAAGCGTGTGAAAAGGTTTGTTTTCTTCTCGATTTCAGTGATCTAGAGATACAATACTTACTTAATTCTTCGGGTGCTAGGTACTGGAACACGATGGTGGAAATTGATGACGGTATAAAAAAGGTTTTAAGTTTTCAGGCACAGTTCCAGGATTGGAATGGGATCATTTCTAAAATGCTAGGGAAAACAGAGATTAATATTTATTACCAGCATGTCATGAAACTGTTATTAATAATGAAGCTCTATGGATAAAGCTTTTTTTTAAATTAATTTGAAACTGCATTGTGCTGTTAATAAGTATTAAACTCTATAAGTGGATTTCATGTTTTTTCTCACTTTCCTTTAAACTGCGTTACTAAATAGTGTATTCTTTGCGGTAGTTCACAGGTAGTTCGGCTTTAATTAATACAATATCGTTGAGAACTTCTGAAAAGATGAAATCATAATGTCAGTAAAATTGAATGTTTTTTTTT